ATGCCGCGACCCCATAATACAGTTCCCCATGTTGTGGTGACCCCCAACCACTTATACATCACTGGGTGCCAGGGGCGTGGCCAAAGAAAAGGGGAAAAAATGGCAGACAGCCTTGTTTGGCGACCCCCGTGAAATGGTCGTTCGAGCCCAAATGGGGTCCCGACCCACAGGTTGAGAACCACTGGTATAGAATGAGGTTTCTAAGAGGATAAGAGGGACAGAGGGATATAAACCACCACATGAAACTTTTCAATAAAAATCTTTCTGTATTGCAACCTTCAGTAGGCAAACACAAACAAAATGCATTCAGGTTGTTTCGTAACACTTACAAAGTTTCCTTCACAAGGTTATTACTACCACAATTCCCACACCAACTTACTAAATTGACGATTACTCTATAATAATAAAGGCGCAAAATATTGCTTCATAGCATATTTTGAAAATAATATAAAAATAATTTTCTATATTATAATTTAAACTTGGCTTGTAAAATTCCAACACAATACAGCCTTTTATGTCTACAAACAAAACATTTACAAACACCTTCCTTTAAGGGATTCTTGTTAAAAAAACAGTATATTATCATTATTTTTCCTCCATTTTAAAAAAGAACCATCGTGTGTACAGGAAAAGCAAGTGTGCAAACAACTGACTGAAGTAATTTGAATTCCAGGCCAGCTTCTATTCCACAAGAACATAAATTTTGCCAGACCTTCAAAGCTAGACTGTCATACCTTGTAAGAGATTCAAACATTGTGTGGGGACTGAAAAGCCATTTGGAATGATGGACAGCTACAACTTTTCATTGCTGGTTCTTTACCCCAAAATCAAGCCCTTTCCCTGCGAATGGAGAACATCACCGATCCACCACAATAATAACTTATTTCTTTATACCTTCACAATAGAACTCTTTGAGATTAAGAGAATTGAATGCATACAAGTCGTCCTCTTCTTACAAACAAAATTGGGACCAGAATTGCCAAGCAATGTGGTCATTAAGCAAGTCATCATGTGACCAGACTCAATTTTACGACCATTTTTACCACAGTGGTTAAGCGAACCAGGCTTTCCCCCTGGGCTTTGCTTGCCAGAAACCCTCTGCAAAGGCCGCAGACTGGAATCAGATGCTGCCATTGTCATAAAGGAGAGTCGCTTACCAAGCAATGATGTCACCACAGGGGTGGGGCAACAGTCATAACTTTGAGGACAGGTCTTAAGTCGCTTCTTCCAACGCCATTGTAATTTTGAGCGTCAAGGGTGATCTGGAGTCTGCCTCTGTCAGGGCGTTGACAGAAGGATGACAGCCAAAGCGAGGCTCTTGTCTGAAAATATTGGTCTCCATAAATTTGGTACATAGTACAATTGTAGCATTTGAGGTTACAGGTGGTCCTTCATTTAGTGACCGTTCAAAGTTACAATGGCCCTGAAAAAATGACTTATGACCGTTGCAGCATCCCCAGGGTCAGGTGATCAAAATTCAGACGCTTGGCAGTTGCAGTATCCCAGGGTCACGTGATCACCCCCTTTTGCGACCTTCTGACAAAGTCAATGGGGAGGCATAGATTCATTTAAAAGCCAGGTTGCTAACTTATCAACTGCAGTGATTCACTTAACAATTGAGGCAAGAAAGGTCATAAAATGGGGCAAAACTCCACAAGTGTCTCACTTAACAAGTGAAATTTTGGGCTCAGATGTGGTCGTAAGCCAAGGATCAACTTTATTTCATTTCCCTTTCCATAATCATCACCAGCTGCCATCATTCTCACCCAACGGTTGGTCAGCAAAACAGAGAAATAATATTATGAGAAAAAAAGCACAAAAGCAGAAAAACAGTTAAGATCGTTTTTTTAAAATAATAATAAAGAGGCATATTCTTCTACTGCCATTGTTATCAAGACATGAGACTCCCAATTTGGACTTAACATTCTAAATAATGCGATTTTTAAAATTATTTTTGGAGTAGGTTTAGATTTATTTCCATGTGTATATTTTGGCCCTTGTTGAATATTTTGTAACGGTGTGCATTTGTACGTAGATTTTTTTAACCAGCAATATTTAACATCTTCCCTAAAGATAAGCTGTGATGTTGCTACTTGTTTTCAACTCAACAATCAAGAGATTCTTAGGAAGCTGAGCTCATATCCAAGATCTCACTCTGCTTTTCCCCCTAACGTCTAGGCACACTTTCTCTCCCTTCTTCGACGTACAATAAGAAATTCTGGAGTCTACCCATCACTGCTTATGGTGCTTTTCAAAATTTTGGGGACTACACCCCTCATATTATATTTAACATCAGGTTTTTTCAAAGGGAGAGACCGACTTTCATTGAGATGTGCATGTAATTGCACAATGATTTTCCTGTAGAATTTGAATTTTTTTCTCTCCTGTCGTCTCTGCTTATAAGGGATAGATGGGCTTACATGTCTCTTGTAACATGTAAGGAGGATAATGTGATTATTTCAAATCAACAGCAGCACCGAAGTACTTAACCTGCAAACGCTTCCCAGGAAACATTGTGGACCATATACATTATTCACAATCTAGGTTGATCCTTGAGAATGAGATTGCATGTTGAGTTAGAACAGGGTTCCCCCACTTCGGCCATGTGGAAATTTGGGGAGTTGAAGTCCTCACTTCTTCAAGTTGCCAAGGCCGAGACACACTGAGTTAGAGGAAGCCATGTTGAGTTAGAAGGATTTGCACACAGGGTTACCAGCACTATCGCTACACAACACGTACAAAATAGTTTTATCACCTTTCCAGAATGTTATGAGGGGGTCCAAACATTTGTCATCTTGCAATCCCCTCACGCTTTTTCCTTGTTTTAGATATTTCAATTAGGAATGATGGGGGAAATTGCAGAAGCATTGAAAGTGAAAGCATGATGTGCTGTCCAAGGAAATAGCCTGGCCATTATTGTTGTTATTGTTATTTATTTTGCAAGAGGAACAGTGAGTAATTAACTGGAGGTGGAGAAGGGCACCAGCCTTAGAGAAAAAAACGTTGCTTCCCAGATCAACTTTTACTTCTAATGACAGTTCAGTTATGACCTGCTGCACAACTTCCTGTAGATGTGCTGGAAAACATCTACCACACACAACACAACTTATCTGTAAACACGAGAGGATCATGTTTTATTCATTCATTAGCCCTTTGAAGTACTTATTTTAAGTGTATCATTACAAAGTATGAGAGTGCTTAGGCATCACTTGCTTACAAACCTTCCCTTAGCTCTTTTGCTCTATAGAAGAAAGGCTAAACTTTTTGCATATTTTTTGTCTTTTAATAATGTTAGTAGAATGGCTCAAACCTGTCCAGAAAACCACCTACTTTCTTCAATGCAACTTCCCCCCTATTATTTATGTATATTTTAAACATAAATCTTTTTTTAAAAAAAAAATCTGTAAAAACATTGCTTTGCCCAGAACAGTAAGCAACACTAATTACATTCAATCACTGTTCCAAGGTTGTCTGACACACCAAATAAAGAGGATAATCCACCAGAAAAAATTCTAACACAAGTGCCACTGAAATGACAGGTGTGTATTAAGTTTCCTTGAGAGACTCCTGTGCATTTCACCAGGGCTTGTGTAGAAAAATCTCCTATTTTTGCACAACAGCCTCTGAAAATAACCCGCCCCCAATTCCAACATCTACATTGAAACTGTTTTTTGCACAATTACATTCTTGACTTAGAATTCACTTCCAAGAATACCCCTAGCCCTTAACACACTGAATTGTCTACAATGTCCCACCCCTGACCCAACTCACAAATTTGTACAACAAAAATGGAATAAAACAGTAGCAGTGTAACGGATTGTGGGTATGTTCATATCTTTGTATGCATGTGTATTCACACTGAGAGAGAGAGAGAGAGAGAGAGAGAGAGAGAGAGAGAGAGAGAGAGAGAGAGAGAGAGAGAGAGAAATTTTCTGGTAAAATCGCCTTTAGCTTCAATAAAATACAATCTTCTCAGGAACGGAACATTAATCTATATGAAAAAGAATTAACCATTTATAGTTTTGAGTCATTTTTCTAAAAAAAATATCAAAGTAATCTTTGATAAAAGTTCTAATTCCAGCAACTTTTAATATATTTCATGTATTTCTAGTTTTCTTCCTGTAATTGTAAGTAGTATTAATATTAGGGGACTCAAAACTTTTTTCTTTCTTTCTTTTTCTTTTTTCTTTCTTTATTATTTCTTTCTTTCTTTCTCTCTCGTCTCCACTAACTATTACCTTCTTGCTATTTCAAGGATTTGTGTCCATAGTAATTATAGTCTTTGCAATAATTTAAGGATTAGACTTCAGATCAAATCGGGAAGAAGAGTCAGGAAACGGGAAGGATTCAACTAGACATCTGATACTTTGCTCCAGGGCAAAGCACTGATTATTCCATGACTTAAGACTGGTAACATATCTGTATATGTGGCTTGTTTGTGTGTGTACATCATTTTGAAAAGACATCACTGTAAAAAGCTCTTCATCTAAGAAAGATGTCTTTGAACAAAAGAAAATAAAAAACATACTAATGACATTTTTTTAAATAACTAACTTCACCTATAGAACGTCTATGGAGGTTCTCTGTCATCCAGGTCCTGGTTGTCCCAAAGGTGCTTTTTCAAGAGGTAGCTGGACTTTCTTGGTCTTTCTTTCAGAACTGAAGAAGCTTCTTGGATGAGAAGCGAAACATCTTCAAGGAAAGACAGACTCTCTCCAGTTGCCTCTTGAAAAAGCACCTTTGGGTTCATCTACAGAAGTATTCATAGGAATAGTAAGGCTGTTCCTTTACCATTGCATCAGTAATAATAAATATTTGTTTAACTCACCTCCCTTAAAAACAGTATCCGATTTCTCTCTCTCTCTCTCTCTCTCTCTCTCTCTCTCTCTCACACACACACACACACACACACACACATTATGAGATACAATCACAGGTTGCTCCATCTGGTACCACAGTTTCTTTGGCCAAAGAAATGAATCATCAATCACCACCACTAAGGAGAAGCATTAAGACCCCACAGCCTTCTTCAGAACTGGAAGGGAGACTCATATGGATGAACTGGGCAAGAGTTCAAGAGTCAGAACATCCCAGTCCCAAACCAGTTGAATATCTTGATCCCAAAGGGGAAGCACAAAAAGCGTGGAAAAGACATGTGCTGCAGGAAACAATGACAAAGATTCAGGATAGGAAATGACCAGATCTGCCATGGACCGTTAGGCAATTAATGCATAATTCATTAATCAAATTAATTCACATGCAATAGCACAAAAGTAAGCCAACGCATCCTCACTGTTGCTTTTCAAGTCTCTCTCTCTCTCTCCCTCCCTCCCTCCTTCCCTCTCCCTCTCTCTCAGCTAAAAACTGCCATATCTTTCCAAAGATACAGAAACTATTATAGTCTAGTATTATTCAACCTTCCAAAATTAAAAAGTTTTGTCATTCCTTTTCTAGGCTGATATGAACGCACCAGGGATTGCCTCTACAGAAGACTTACGACAAGGTTAGTGAAATGCACAAGTGAACAACTACGGACAGCAGGCACCATTGTTTTATATTTAGAATGCAGAACCAAATATAAAATAATGCGTGGTCATGAGATTAATTCTTACACCGAGGTGTAAGAATTTAACTTCAGGAACTTTAATGAGCTTTTCAAAATCACTTGGATGTTTGAAGGCGCTTTCAGGATGGGAACAAATGGTTTTCCTTCTCTTTTTAGGAATGTAACAGAACAAAAGGAATGGATGTGGATGTAGAGGCTGAGATGTAATTTAGGATAGACGTAGACAAAAATTCTCCTAAGACTTAGGTTATATTGCTCTATATAAGAATGTAGCACATTCTTTAGGTATGCCAGTGGAGACAATGACTACAAGACAAACAGAATAGGAAGAAATCCAATTATGGATTGTATCGTGGTTTTTATAACAAACCATTGGCTTTGAAAAGCAGGGGGAAGAAAGATAAAAGTGGTTCCTGCCACTTTTTCCTAAGCTCTTCCTAAATATCTGATTAAATCTAACTTAAATCAGAAGTGATGGAGATACCATGACTATTGTTCCTTATAGGTGCAATGGCTTCTTCCGAAAGATCACACATACACCCAAATTCATGAAAAGTTGTTCAAGGAAGAAAAGATTGGTGTGGAAACTTGAATTGCTTCTCTGTCTGTTTTGACTATTTCATCAGCTATGAATGGATGCTATAAAATGTTCTTCCTTACTCACAGTCTGCCTACTCCAAGACCAGAGGCTACTTCTGAAGAAGGCTAAGCATCTTCAGATGATGGAAGAGACCACTGACCCAGAAGTTGACAATAGCTAAATCTTCAGATAGGATATCAATTTGGAATCCACTGCAAAATTTCTCTGTTTCTTTGCAGGACCAATTCTGGACTAGGGTTCACAGGCAGCTGGCAGCGTGCTTATGGCTGATTTTAACTCTGATTTATATTTTTGATGGATTTCACTATTTAATGGTTGCTGGCTGCAGAAAGATATCTATTTGTAAAATAAACAATCAGGGTTGTCCCATTTATACAATACGAGATCTGTGTCAAAACAATTCGATTCCTCTAGAAAAGTTATCCAACAAACTTGGTTCAATTGAATTTTTAAAATAATTGCTAAAATAATTTCAGCTGTTCAACCTTTTTCCTAATTTAAACTTCAAAGGGCTACACTTGAGAACGTGTAGAAAAACACAAACACCAAAAAACCCCATAGCTTGCTTTTTAAAAATAGGTGTCCATAATTTAACATCAGTGCAAATGAATATAGATCATTTTTGTCTTCTTCTCTAGAAAGGGAAGGATCTGGGTGACAGGCTACAGAAAGTTTGGAATGAGCCATCATCCAGGAAAAATATAACTAAATAACGTGGCAATAACAGCATTTCTAAACTCAGTGAGAGGTATAGCCTGCAGTGAAGGACTACAAGATGATTGCATCAGAGTTTGCATGATCCTGACACTAAACTGTAAAGTGCTCATTTTTAATATGAGTGTCGAGCCTTATTTTAATATCAACTGGCAAGATAGACCTTTCCATCTGGAGCAATTGGTGTAGTCCAAAACCGGAAATCACTTACAGGAATGAATGAAAACCATTTCTCTTGGGTGAGAAAAGCTGCCATCATGGAGCCATGCTTTCATTTGTGTATCTATGGAAAAAGGGGGTTATAAAAACCAAAGTTTATAGCAAGGATGTTAGTGAGTTAATATGCACTAAATACACCTTTACGATGCTTGCTTCCTTTAAAAAAAACAGCAAGGGAAGGAGAGCTATGGAACATGACATTTCTCCTGGGGAGATCATCTACAACAAGGGTGGGGGACTATGGGCCCTTTTAATGGCTTGTGGACTTCAACTCCCAGAAGCCACGCTGGCTCAGGAATTCCAGGAGTGGAAGCTACAAGTCATTAAAAGGGCCATCGTTCCCCACCTCTGATCCACAGAATGAGGCAGACACATTTGTGCACTTACCACACCACGTCTTCTATTTTTATGACTTTTCCCCTAATCTTTCTACTACCTGAGTGATGTCAGTGTGAATTCAGGCACCATTAGTAAAGTTTTGACCACACGGATACAGCACTGACAGAGAAGTAAAGACCCTCTCCAATTACCAGTGTATGTAAAAAAGAGACCAACGAAATGGGAAGCCACCAACTCGTGATCATCCACGGATCCTCACTTTTTTTTGTTTGTTTTTTTGCCCACCACCTCTGAGAGAGAGAGAAAAAAGCTAGAGCTTTGCTCCCTTGAGAACCTTTCTAGAATCCCCCCTGGTCTTTCCTCTTTCAGTCCCTTACCACATACAATATGTCCTAAGTAAGAAAACAAACGAAATAAATATTTATTCGAAGAGCTCCACGGTCTTCAATGCCGGGACCCTTTACTCTCTCGCTCCCTACGTTTGAGTTCCTCCTTGTAGCAGCAGGAGCAGAAGTTCTTGGTTTCAGGGCGCCCGTAAAAGGAACAATTCTCCGTCTTGCAGCGGTTCTGCTGGATGGAATACACGGGGCAAACCGGGGTCCTGCTGCGGTTTTTCTCATTGTTCAACCAGGTCTGTGGAGCATCTTCATCCACGTACTCTAAGCTGTCTCTGATGTCCTTGCTATTGAACCCATTGGTGTATGTTTGCGACTTGGGGTCCGTGGGCAGAGCGTAGGCCAAAGACTCCACCGTGTTGACCGTACGAATGTCCGCTATCCGTGCCGGGCTATAACTCTGCGAGGACAATGAGCGGTTCTGCTGAGGGTAGGTGGCACATGTTTTTAGGGTGCCCACCACGGGCTTGTAGACATCGTCTTGGAAGCTGGATGGCTTGGTGTTGAAGTCGTGCAAGTGGATGATGCTCTGCCTTTGGACGGGGGGCGTATGGCTATAATGGGCAGATACCGGGATGGGTCCACTCCCCTTGGCTCCGTTGCTCGGTGAAGAAAAGGAAGCCGGCGTGGGACTAGCCCGGTCTTTGAACTTTAAAACCAGCTGAGTGGTATGGCTTTGAGGCAACACGGGGGATGCCCTCCCCTGAGGAGATGAATCCAGCTTCTCCTTGGAAAACCCTTCTTGGTCCAGTTTGCGAGACGAGGAGCTGCCGAGAGCCGTGGCCTTCTTCTCTGCCTCTTTCCTCTTCTGCTCTTGTTCGGCACTGAAGCGTTCTTGGGCGCTGGTCAAGTAGTAGCCAATCATCTCCTCGTGGAACTGGTGTCTGTGGCTTGTTAGGAGGAGGCCGGCAAAAATGAACTTCCGCTCTCCTTGCATGGCGGCTCTTAAGATGTTCAGACTCAGCTTCACATCGGTGCTGTATTTCCAGGATGGGGATTTTGCGCTGGCTTTTTCTGCAGGGGAGATGCTCGCCTTCTCTGTGGGGGACGGGGTGGTGGTCTTCTCCGAGGGGGAGGTGCTCGCAGAACGGCCCGATTCCTCTTTGCTCCCTTTACGCGATTTCGACTTCTTCTCTTTAGCCTTCTCCGTGACCTCCCCCCCGTTTTTGCCATTCCCAGCGTTGGCTCGGTTGATCTTGCCGTGGACCAGCCCACCCAGACCCCCCATGTTCTTCTTCAGCTTGATGCCCAGAGTCTTACTGAGACTCCCAAGTTTGTTAGCCACGGAATCCCCTCGGTTCTTCTCCTTGTCTTTCCTCTGCTTCTCTTTCTCTTTCCCGTTTTTGCCGTTATTGCCGTTAGAATTACTACAGACGGAATCCCTGTCTGAATCCATGGAGTCTGCCAGCGACTGGACGTCTTCTCCAGCCGATGCCGTAGGAGACTCTGGCTGAGCCAAGGGAGCCTGGGAGGAAAAGCAGGACAACAGTCAGAAATCGGGAGTGATTGTACACAAGGAACCTCCGTACATTTGCAGGCAGATTTTTCCAAATTTTGAAAAATCAAATTATTTTTAAAGGCATGAGTTGTGCATAACACACCGAGATGAAATACTATAGAGGTAGCTGGCTTAATATTTGGGGGGGGGGGAATACTTGGTTTTCACTCAATGAGTTGTAAATTTTTTCACCAAGCTGGTCAGTCATCAGCATCAGGGACAAGAAAGTGGAAGGAATTAGATGTTAACATTTTATACAGTTGCATAATGATTTAATCTGGTTAGGCATCAAGCCCCATCTGAAGTAAGGCAGATGCTACAACCACAGACCAAATCATCTATATGTAAGTGAAAACTGCGAGCAATTCCTAGATTTTTCCTACCATTCTTTCTGTAGTTCTGTGCAGGTGTTATTCCTGTAACCCATCTGGCCAGGATGCTGTGTTGTGCCCTTCATGCCCAGCCCTGGGTTACCCGTTTGGAGTGGAAACTCAAGCCAAACAAGCAGGACCGTATTTCTTTCAAGCTAATAGGCAAAGGAATAGCGTTACCCGTGTTTCTGACGGCATGCGGATCCAGGTTACATTCATGTAACTATGCAGAAGGTTCAGCTTTGCCTCCAGGGACAGAATCAAACTGGGAACACAAAAAGAGAGAGGGGAAACAAAACAAAAAAAACCCCCACACCATGTCATATACGTTACACAAAAGGAATTGCCGTAGGTGTTCACACTGCAAAATGATTTTTCCAAACTGCAATTTTAAAAGTAAGGACAGGACCAGGAAGACAAGAAAAAGGAGTTCCCCATGAGGATAAAAAAATATACCACATTCGTGTCTATTTTGGGTGAGACCCAATCTAGCTGTGTTATAGAGCACTAAAGCTCAAATCTTTCCCTTGGGCTTGCAGTCTCCACTACACAAAGTCTACCAAGCGTGCTAGACACACACAGGGGCTGTTTCTGAAATCTTAGAGACTAAAAAGAATCTTACTTGGCCAATTTGATGTTATCATTGTCATCCTTGCCCCATTCCCAGTCTTTGCCCGGATCAACCGCAAAGTGCAAAGGAAGTAATTTATGTTCAGAATCGGTCAGAGGGATCACCGCTGAAGGAAAGAAGAAAAGATCGGAAATGAAGAAACGGAGAAAGAAGAAGAAATGGCTGAAGAACAAGAGAAAAAAAACCTGAATGACTAGCAACACACTTATGGCCAAACAGCAATGTCAGTCTGTATATTTTGATAAACAGCCTTTTCAGATACCAACAGAAAAATAAACAAGCTGCACCCATTTTTGTTCTAATAAATTCTCAGTAATCTCTCTATATATCTTAACATCCTTTAGCAATGTGCTTTGCATAAGGGTTTCAAACATTCCAAGTATTTCACATGCATTAAAAAACATCAACTGCTAATACAAGAGATCTTGTATATAGGAAATAACTAGATCAATAAGCACAACTATTGAGGGAGAAAATAAAATGGCTTGCCATACTGTCCCTTAACCACTAGATGGCGCTCACTCTATATGCCAATGACAGGCTCGAATTTAAAAGCAGGGAGCCTTTTGAATAAAAAGCAGCAGAAAGCAGCTGTTCTTTTTATTAATTAATTAATTACAGGTGTCAATGAAGCAACATGTAATCTGAGGACATCTTATGCAACTTTGTCAAGAATTCTGGGTCACTTCTGTTAAGTTCTTCAGCGACTTTTTGAAATGGTATTTTGACGTGAGGGATATTTTAGAGGGGAAATGAAAAGATTAAACACGAGATTGGAACTCAGAGGAAAGGGGGAAATGACTAAGCTACCTTTCTTCCCTTCCTGTTCTTCCACTTTTAACTGTTAAATTTTAACAGAAATTTTGTAAGGCGCGGGCAGGAATCTTTGCATTCCAGTGTACAATCATACATTCAATTTTTTTTAATGGGAATATATTGTATACTTTCTCCTGTAAAAGGGAAGGCATAATGCATATATGCACTATCAGTGTATGAATGGACTTTTATTCTAATCACAAATCTTAAAATCTAGGAACAAAACCAACAGGCAGCACAGGAGCAAGATAGCCAAATTCAACTTTTTCATAAGAATACATCCAGACTGACAATATACCCAAAGGGATGAACCCTTTAATGTAATGAACAATGAACCCTTTAATGTAATCAACTTAACAAGTGGAGGGGTCTGCAAAATAACACAATCCAGATTCTATGCTAATAAAAAAACAGCCCACCAGAGCACATCATCCTTTATAAACAGATCCTTATCAGATCTTCAAATGATGCAATTGTAACCCATTCCAACAATGGATCGGTGAACAAGACACAGCTAAAAAGAGCAAAACACTCAAAATAATCAAAGGAAAAGCACAGCAACTAAGTCACACTTGGAAGTTTAGATGTAAGGAGTTCATTTTAATTTCATTTTCTCGCCAAATGCAAAGATGAGACAGAATCGTGCTGCAAATGTATATTGTGGACAGCAGATACCTTGTGGGCTCCTCAGTTTCCCTGAACCATTTCCAAACAGTTACAAACTTGCATCAATTACAGTGATGCAATTAACACACTGCATCTATTTAATCTCCCCTTATGTCTGGCTGAAAACAACTTTATAGGGACACGAAGCTGAGAGAGAGCACTAAAGACCTCACGGTTCAACCCTGAGGCATGAATATCCTATTACAAGATAAAAGCTCTACAAGATCTAACAAAACAGCAGGAACATAACACACAAATACACACACGCGCGCACACACACACACACACCAATCAGTCTGGAACATTTTAAAGAAGGTCTTCTCTAGAATTATTACTGAGGATATTATTTTTATCTGAAATGGCTCTCTATCTTTGCAACCTAATTTGAACAAACGTGCATTTTCTTCTAGAGAAGTTGAGTTGCCACTGTTCCTCAATCAATTCACAAATATAATTGTAAATACATACTCTACATACAAGATGACAATTGTCAGCTCTCCCGATTCTTTCCAACCATCTCCTACAACCTGCCAGAAAAATATCATCTAATCCCGCATTGTTGCTAAGCAGACAACCCAGCATCACAGCTTCTCTTCCGTTGAAAGCGTCTCCTTGTTCCGCTGAAATCAAAGGAGGCTTTGAGCAGTTCTGGGAGAGCAGCCACGATGCTCCTCCCGTTAGGGAAGCCAGCCCAGGGCAGAAAGAGGGACTTGTGCCTTTGAACGGACAAACGTGTGAAAAAAGGCCTCTAGGAATACTTTGGCCACTGATCCATCATTCAAATATTTCGGCACGGGTTCTCCCTCATCAGCAGGCATTAGACATCAAGAAAGCCACTTCTCCCTTTCCCAGGAAAAGCATCGTGAAAGAAAACACCAGAGGAGGATGTAAAATCCCTTCATGGGGCATTCAGCATCCTTGGATCGATAAAAGCAGATCTAGAGAGAAAACCTGAGATTTCTCGGGCCTTCCTGAAACCCTTAAGATCTGATCTTTCAGAGAGGAGGGCTGCAAGGTTTGGGGGTGCGGAGACGAGAAGACCCAAACTGGAGGTCAGCATCCATAATCTACTTCATACTAAACCTCATGGAGAAATGAAAGCCAAACTAGGCTGGGAGCAAACAATCTGGAGGCTGGGGGGGTTGTTATTTCATACTGAAAGAAGCCACAGGAAGACTTCGGATCAAGGGGCAACAGACAACACACTGGGTCCCTTTGGGCAAAGCAAACTCTGCCAGCCATTTTCCAATCTTTTTTAAAATGTCTGGAAGACGTGTGGATCGGTTCCCTTCATCGTATTCCTTGTTTACCACATTTCCTATCAGAGAAATGTAGTGGGGGGAGAGAGAACATTCCTTTCGTCCTACTGTTATTATTGTGGGGGGTTTTGCTTTTCTTCTGATTCTTAAGGAGGGTAGTTGACCCATTGTCGTCTCCTCCCTATCAAATGCACGTTGATTACACTTCTCCAAGCCTTGTGGGTGAAGAAGGAGAGGAGAAGGTTGAGGAACGCCTGGGATCAGAATCTCCCCATCTGGAGTTTATCCCCATATAATCTTCCGAAAGGCACAAAAATGTATTTTGTGTTTCTAAGAGCAGATGAAGCCCTGCTACCTTTACCAGTTTATTCCTGGGTTTTCAAGTCAGCTTGATTTCAGGCCGGACATACCTTGCTCCTTCTGCTGGTCTTTCTGTTCCATTGACACGAGGGCCGAGAAATGGGCTTGGTCGTAGGCCAGGACGAGGGGAGAGCAATGGCATCGGTTGGGCATGACTTCTAAGGGCAAGTAAATTCCTCCAAAGGGGATGGGTGCAAATGCTGCAAAAAGCACAGAAGATGCTGCACTCAAGATAAGCAGTGGGCACAATCCCGAGGCTCTTCTTTTCTAAGGCAGTTGTGGTAGAGGTCATTCTTTTTGCATCAGTGGCAGACGCCAATCAGCCAATGGTGAAGCAATCAAATGAAGAAAAATAATATAGAATATATTCTATATATATCAGAATTATAGACTTCAAAATGCATCGGGAGGGAGGGAGGGAGGGTGGAAGGAAGGAAGGAAGGAAGGAAGGAAGGAAGGAAGGAAGGAAGGAAGGAAGGAAGGAAGGAAGGAAGGAAGGAAGGAAGATGAAAAAGAGGAAGGGAGGAAGGAAGGAAGGAAGATGAAAAAGAGGAAGGGAGGAAGGAAGGAAGGAAGGAAGGAAGGAAGGAAGGAAGGAAGGAAGGAAGGAAGGAAGGAAGGAAGGACCTCTAACCTGCAAAACGAACACACCATTACATACTGTATCTCATTGAATATTGGATATTGTATCCAAAAGATGCCATTACAGAAGATGGTTTTCATTAAAGTGAAATTACTCTAGCCCAGCGTATCTCAGCCATTTTAAGATGTGCAAGCTGTCTGAGGAATTCTGGGAGTTGAAGTCCATAAATCTAAAATGGCCATGGCTGGGAAACCCGGGGCTTAGCCATCCAAGGTCCAAGTAGCCAGAAAAAAATTACCTTCTCCTCCTGAATCCCGTAGCATTGTATCTGCCACAACGACAATCGGTCGCCTTAATATGTGGGCCAACACAAAAACATGGAACTCTTCTAAGCTCTCGTAGACGGGCTCTTCGGAATTCTCCACTCTAAGAAAGGAACACAAAAAGCAAATGGATCAGAGCTGAAGAAGCTTGCTGGAAAGACAGTCCTGAGAGAAGATCTTTGCAAGGTGATCTGGAGTTGGACTCCAGAACTAGGTTGTCCCCGCACGAAGTTAAAATGTGATTGAAGTTACAGTTGCAAATTTGATGAAGTACCGTGAATGAAATTTACACGCTGCATTTATTAATTTCCCCTTTTGTCTGGCTGGAAAAAAAACATACAGTTTCACAGCAATATCTGAAAGGGCTTTGGAGGATACAACTAAGACTTTACGGGGCCATATGCTAACCCTAGTTTACAGTTACTTGCTATGCAAATATATGCTTCTACTTTGTTGTGTGCATGAGATAAACGTATACAATATATCTTGCAAATTAATGAAATAATGCCCTATTTATCCCAAAGAGCAGGTATCTGTTAAATAACATCGTACATCTTTTTTAGTACATAAATTCTGTGCTGGTAAATTTTTGTCTATAAAGTTGACAGATAAGAATATCAAAGGGGTCTTGAAGACCCCTTGAGGTATATTTCTGCCTGGAATCCAAGCACCGTCACGTGTAGCCACCTTACATGAACACTGATCATCATTTCTACAGGCAGTTAAGACATTGAAACCTCCACAGAACTCTGAAAGTTGGCAATCTTTACATCTTTTTTTTTAAGACGCATATTTGCTCATTAAAAACAAAACAAAACAGAAGATCTAAGAGCAGCTAGCGACCTAGAACTCTTCAAAACCTGTTATTTTGATTACTTCTTTTTGAAACAGAGACGGCTTTGAAGCAACCCTAACTTGGGTTGAAAGCCTGTCAGCCCATCTCTAATTTAAAGGCTAGGATGGAAATTCTGCTCCACAATGTTCTTGCGAAGTCACCGGACGGGTTGGCTTTGAAGAAGCTCTCTTCCCCAAAAAGAAGGCTTCCCTCATTGATTTCTGCATAGGTACCGCTTGACTTACAACCATCAGTCAGCAGACTGAAAGAAATGGATAGCATTGACTCTCAATAGGCGTTCTTGTCCAGAAGAAGGATCTGCAGGAGGGCCATAAAAGTCAGAATAGTGGCCACAACCATCCATTTGAAGTTCTGCCTCCCACTTTTAATGTACATCTATCCATACTACTAAAACTCTTCTGTTTGTCTGTGTGTAACCTTTCACTGGGCAAAACAGTGGATCCAAAGTCAACAGTTTTTGAAACAAGGTATTCTCAAACAGGCTAACTTACACAATGGGTCCAAAATCTGGGACCCATGACTCCCGTGGGATTGAAATGTGGCAATTTCAGGAGCACCCTCATCTCCCCATCCAATTTCCAAATGAACGTGATGCAAATCTGCAACAGTCCTGGCTGTTTTCACTCGATCTCTTTGCCTCTTTGCCTCGTACCCTTCGTCTCCCTGAGTAAGTGGAGGCTCCTTGGGCTTGGGTGGCATCTGGCACAAGAGTGGCTGGCGACCAGCAGTTCCAGCTTAAGCTGGTTTGAGTTCCCCTTGGAGAGCTGTGACAACACACGTTGAAAAATGTATTAGCAATGCTAACTCTGATTTCTAGAGAAGGGAGCTGTCAGGAGCCGCTTCTCTAAAAACAGCACAAAAAAACACCAGCAAATACTTTTCAGCACATCTCTAATGGGAGCACACGGAGAGGGACAAAACCAGGAGGTCTGGAGAAAGACAGGAGGAGGCTGCGAGGAGTGCAGGGAAGAGGCTGAATACAGCAGCAGTGTGGATTAAGAGGGGAGGGGAGGGGAGGGAGGGAAGGAGGGGAGGGAATGAAAGCAGGAAGGAAGGAAGACAAGAAGGAAAGAAGGAGGAGGGAGGAGAGGGGATGGGAGGGGGGGGGACGGGAAGGAAGGGACGAAGAGGAAGGAAGGAAGGAAGGAAGGAAGGAAGGAAGGAAGGAAGGAAGGAAAGAAAGAAGGAAGGAGGAGGGAGGAAGGGATGGGAGGGGGAAGGAAGGAAGGAAAACAAGAAGAAAAGGAAGGAGGAGGGAGCATGGGAGGGGGAAGAAAGGAAGGGAGGGAGGGAGGAGGGAAGGAAGGAAGGAAATAAGGAAGGAAGGAAGGAAGGAGGAGGGAGGAGAGGGGATGGGAGGGGGAAGGAAGGAAGGAAAACAAGAAGAAAAGGAAGGAGGAGGGAGCATGGGAGGGGGAAGGAAGGAAGGGAGCGAGGGAGGGAGGGAGGAGGGAAGGAAGGAAATAAGGAAGGAAGAAAGGAAGGAAGGAAGGAGGAGGGAGGAGAGGGGATGGGAGGAGGAAGGAAGGGAGGAGGGAGGGAAGGAGGAGGGAAGGAAGGGGAAGGGGAGGGCAGGGAAGGGCAGGGGAGAGGAGAGAGGGGAGGGGGGAGAGAGGGGGAAAGGAAGGGAGGGGAGTATAAATAATAATATGAAATAAGATAGAAAAAATACTATTTGAGTTGGAAAGTCAGCTGATCTGGACAGACCAATCTGTTCTTTGCTCTTGATGACAAGACGCTTCCTCACGAGTGACAGTTTGTGATTATCCCCTTGGGAACCGTGCCATTTCCACAAGGGTCCGTGGTTTGATTGATTTAAAATATTTACATGTTAGAAGATAGTCCCTTGGGCTTACTTATGATTCTGCTCCACATCCTCCTTTTCCTATTATATTGTAAATGCACCCCTGGCAGACCCCACTTACCCGCCACCGCTGCCCCCGTTTTTGCTGATATGAGTGCGTGGTTCACTGGATGCCAACTTGAGGAGTTCGCTCCACTCCCGCTCCCACTCTTCTTCCGTGTAAACCAGTCCTGACTAAGAGAGAAAGAAAACATAGTTGGAGGAAGAAGACAACGAAGAAGATGGAGCCCACACAAGGTAGCAGATATGCCTTCATGGTTTGTGTATTTCTTGGGAGGAGAAGGTGCAGATGGAAGAAGGCTATCCCATCCTGGGGTGTTTTCAACCAGGACAACTTTAAGATGGGTGGACTTCAACTCCCAGAATTCCCCAGCCAGCTTAGCTGGCTGGGGAATTCTGGGAGTTGAAGTCCACCCATCTTAAAGTGGCCCTGGCTGAAAAAAAAAATTGCCCTGCTCCAGCCTGCAAAACAAGGGATCCCCAAATCAGATGTTTGTGCCAAAATTCACATCTATACTCAGAGAATATGAACAGTGGCCGCAGAGGGGTTCCATCCCCCTCCCATTGTTTCTTGGAATAAGGAAAACAGGCCACTAGAGAAGAAAGGAAGAACCTGGATAGGAAGAACCTGCTTTGATGTTGGGAGAGAAAATGTACTCAAAGAGCAGTCTTATAATGTCTTCCAGATTTCTCTGGGATAGTTGAGAACATCTGTGCTCCAAGGGAAGTAACTACCAGAATGGAAGGCCTTGTCTACATCCACTTTCCACTCAGCCAAAAAAAAACAGAAAAGGGTTCCATGAAAGCCCCTTTCAGAAGAAGAAAAGACTCTGGGATGCTCCCGGCACACCAACCTCTTTATTTTGGTGGGTCTGCTGCCACCTCCACCTTCTCTTCAGAGCTTCCCTTTCAGCCCCACTCCTCATCATGGCGTAAAGTGCTTTCCGTAAGACGAGGTCTCGGTCATGAAAGCCCCACATCCCTACAAACGAAAGAAAGGCTGGGCTGGGTATCTAAAGAATCCTAGATTTATAAGGTTGGAAAGAAACTTTCAGCTCTTCAACTCAATAAACCAAAATAGAGAAGAATACAAGCAGCTGGTGTGATAAGAATGGAATGGAATGGGCTCTTCCAGTGCAAGGGTCCGCTTAAGACACTGAAAATGGTCCAACATCTAACATACCGGCATAGGCTGTCCTACAATACAGCCTCTAACAAGACCAGACTGTCCAGGACACCTGGTAATAGGATTGTTTATTTATACTAAGAAAGTTGGGAAGGCACCAAAGTCTGCATGTGGTGTGTGCCCAGGAAGACTTCGTGGTGTCCGCGCTGTTCGGCCAAAAGTTCTTATGAGACTTTCCAAAACAAAAAAACACGTCAGTAGAGCCTATGGAGGTTCGATGTGTGCTAAATGTGTTCGCGACAGAATCAAGCGAGCATTCCTTATTGAGGAACAGAAGATTGTTGTCGAAGTACTGAAGGCACAAGCACAGAGTCAAAAATCAAAGTGATTATTTCTATTGCCACCCAATAAATGAAGATTTAAATTAAAAAAAAAAAAGAATGGAATGGAATGGAATGAAACGGAATGGAACAGAACAGAACAGAGTAGAGTAGAATGCAGAATAGAGTAGAGCAGAGCAAAGCAGAGCAGAGCAGAACAGAACAGAATAGAACAGAACAAGCCAAGGAGATGTTGACACCTACCCAAAGAAGCCGCGTGCAAGAGGCAGTTTCCATCACCGGTTGTAGCCAACGGAAGAAGACGCTTGCAGCTGGTGCACACCGTTGACCACCAGTTGAGGCGACCTAGGAAAAGGTCAACCATCAGTATAAGAAAGATGTGAAGGAATCTTGGAGAAGATAATGAGGGATCCATTTATGGGGGGGGAGGAAGAAGAGAGATACTTGGAGAAGAGATTAGTCAATAAACTCTATCTTCAGGTTGATAGCTGCATTCAGTTTCCAGCTCTGAAGTTACTCATTGAGAAACTTCACTAACTACCACCAGAAGAAAATATTTGTAGCTAAGGATTGAATTATGGGGTCCTTGGTGCTCTCTGAGTTCGGTTTGGTTTTCTTGCAGACATTTCATTACACAGGTAAGTACCATCAGTGCATTGATGTTGTTGCCTAGTTGGGTAATGCAACCAAACTCGTAGAGCACTAAGGACCCCACACTTCATGTAATTTCTAGACTAATTATTTGATTCCTAATTTGCCTAATCCACTTGAAAACTGCACTATTGAATTCAGAAATTCAGGAGCTTTACACCAGGTCAGCTACAACCACACAAAGCCAATCAGACTTCAGTCTTTTCATCTAACAAGCACGGGAGTTTTCTGCAGACCTGTAATATTGGTGTATCATTGGGAAATCTCCACACTAATAGCTGATTTTGTGGAAAGCCCTTGATAATCTCCACACGCACCCAGTGAGCAGCAGCCGGTCCCGCTTCCTCGCCCGACTACTCTGATTCAATCTAAATTAGGAGTTCACTCGGGAAGCGTCCTTCTAAGGGTGCTGGGCCGCCGTTGGGAGCGATAAAATTGGAAGTAACATGTTCTCATTTTTACGCCTTTCTTGGGGGCTTTGAGAAGCAACCGCCCATCACCTCCGTGCAGAAACCGCAGCGCAAAAGGCTCGTCAGAGGACAGTACAGCTAAGTCAACTTACAGCCGTTTATTTAGTGACCGTTCAAAGTTACAATAGCATTGAAAAAAGTGACTTGGGACCCTTGCAGTATCTCCGTGGTCACGTGATCAAAATTTAGACGCTTGGCAAGTGGTTCATATTTATGACAGCTGCAATGTCCCTGGGGGGGGGTGTCAGGTGTTCCCCTTTTTGCGACCTTCTGACAAGCAAAGTCAAGGAGGAAGCCAGAATCACATAACAACTGTTTTACTAGCTTATCAACCAGAGTGATTCACTTAACCACTGTGGCAAAAAAGGCCGTACGCCGAGGCCTAGCCGTATTCCCTTCTCTGGGCCCAGCTAGACCGATCCAAATGCATCCTTCGGACATATTGAGCTGAAAGCTGCTCTGCTAATCTCCTCTAAAAGCCTATTTCTCTGAAGGCAGCATTAGAGGCGGAAGCAGCCAAGGCTTCCAGGCAGAGAATTTACGTTTATTCATAAGGACCACGGAAAGCTAAGTCACATGTAAAGCTCAGCCATGTCTCCAGTGGACTGCAGAAATTGTGCAGTTAAAGAAACAACTGCTTTCGCATTCCTCGGACCAAGATTATGTGGGGGGGGGGGGAAGCAGACCTCCTTTTCAGGATTGTCTTCCATTATTCATGGTTTTAGATAGGCTTATCCCAGCCCACCCACACATTGCTGTCTTATTAAATTACAACCGTCTTTTCTTTGGCCTCAGCTTGAACTGTAAGAGCTTCATCTCTCTGATCATTTTAATCACTTTTTCAGGTATTCCCTAACCCTTTTACAACCTTTCCAAGACCAAATGGCCAAGTGGGCATCTGGCTTTCATTCCTGATGGAAGTAATCCATTTCAGCAATCCTGGGCTGAACGGAGGGATCCGGGAAGCCCTCGAAGCAACCCGGAATGGGGCTGGAAGTCTATCTCACCCGCTTGCTCCAAAGCGACCATGGTGGCCTGCTCAATCAGGTCCCGCTCAACGAAGCTCCTGAAGTCTTCACTATACACACTGAGGTCAGGAAGCTGGAAGGTGTAGATGGGCATCTCCAGAGAGAAATGGTCATTGTTACATTCGGTGGCCACGTGAGAGCGGGCGAGCGAGACGATGGCGGAACTGGCGTGAGAGATTCCTCGAGAAAGCCTCTTCTCTAAACAAGGGAGGAAAGGAGGAGGAGGAGAGGGCGTGAGACGCAGCCTGAAGAGGCTCCCTACTGAAGTCATTAAACATTGCAAGAAAATAACGAAGCTCAAAGAATACCAAGGACCCCACAGTCCTCCTCCTCCTCCCTCCCTGGTTCTTCTTCTCTTTCTCCTCTACTTCTCCTCCTCCTCCTCCTCCTCTCCTATTTCTCCTCCTCATTCCCTAATTATTTGTATGTCTTTTCATGTTGTTTATGATCATGACTATCACTGTTACTTCTATGTACACTGAGAGCTTCTGCACCAGAGACAAATTCCTTGTGTCCAACCACACTTGGCCAATAAAGAATTCTATTCTATTCCAGTTCTTAATAATAATAATAATAAAATTGGAAGGGACCTTGGAGGTCATCTGGTCCAACCCTCTGCTCAGGCAGGAAACCCTACACCATTTCAGACAAATGGCCATCCAGTCTCTTCTTAAAAACCTCCAGTGTTGGAGCATTCACCGCTTCTGGAGGCAGGTTGTTCCACTGGTTAATTGTCCTCACTGTCAGGGAGTTTCTCCTTAGTTCCAGGTTGCTTCTCTCCTTGATTAGTTTCCATCCGTTGCTTCTTGTCCTGCCTTCAGGCGCTTTGAAGAATAGCTTGACTCCCTCATCTTTATGGCAGCCCCTGAGATACTGGAAGGCTGCTATCATGTCCCCCCTCATCCTTCTCTTCATTAAACTAGACATGCCCAATTCCAGCAACCGTTCCTTATATGCTTTCGCCTCCAGTCCCCTGATCCTCTTTGTTGCTCTTCTCTGTACTCTTTCTAGAGTCTCAACATCTTTTTTAAATCTTCTCCTCCTCCTCCTCATTCCCTACTTATTCTTCTCCTCCTCCTCTTCCTCCTCCTTCTCCTCCTCTTTCCCTACTTATTCTCCTCCTCCTCCTCTCCTCTGTAAACTCCACTCTCTTTTAGCAGTGATGATGTTACCTAGTTGGGTAATGAAACATCTGCAAGAAAACAACCAAGCTCAGAGAGCACCCAGGACCCCACAGTCCTTCCTCCTCCTCCTCCTCCTCCTCCATCATCCTATTTTCACTCAATTACATATTACATAAATCCTGTCTGCAACGGAAAATAAAAACAAAAAAAACCCTTTGCTCTCACATGATTTTAAAAGCTGGCTAAGAATTGGAATATCCCAGGGGATAAAACTTTCAGAGATCACTATCACCCAGTAATCATAGGAAAGGACAACAGGAGGAGTCAACACAAGATCATCGCAGCTACACTTTCCCTTGGTTCCCTGATTCATCTTCAGCTGGTATAAAACTTTTTTCTCTCCAGCTAGTGTAAAACGTTTGCCTTTCCCCAGTTCATGATACATTTTTAATAATTATATTCTTTGAATAACACTCATCTACAGGCACCCTTGACAGAACCACCAAAGATGGAATGAAGTCAAGTTAATCTTTAATCTTGGGAAGATAAGAGAAGAACAGACAAGCCTGAATCTCAGCAGCTTTGCCAGATGTGAAAACTAGGATGACATTCATCAAATGGGGCTCCAGAAGGCAGATGCTACCTGGGTTTTGAGGCAGCTCAAATGATTATCTATGCCAAGGGATCAACGGAGAGAGCCTGTGGCAGATCCAGAGGCTGACACTGTTTTATTGACTGCCAAATAAATCCTGGTTTTGGAATTGTCTGTAGCCTCTCTGCAATAAGCTCCATGGCCTAAAGACAGCGATCCTTCTCAATTAAGCCCACACATTTATAGGGTGTAGGAGTATTGGCCAAGAAAATCTCCCATAGGAACCATCTTTCTAAGCTCAGTACGATTTTAATTTCTGCTACTAGTTGCCATGGACATTTCAAATGAATGAAGTGAAATTATTTTTTTTTTCATTTACTGGGGATATTTTATTCTATTTTTGTTGTTTTGTTAAATACAGGGAGTTCTTTCTGGAACACCATGGCATACAAAACTGAGAGATAAATAAATGAAGTCCTCCCCAGCTGGTGCAAATACTCTTTGTGGAGTCAACACTTTCTGAAAGAACCAACCCTGAGAATGCCATGTTAATCTGGAACATGTGTGTAACAACAAGGGGGCTGAAACAGGAAAGCATTGGGAGTCCAGCCTCCTTTGCCTTCCCTTCATGGGGGAATCATGAAAAGATGTTAGTGGCCAGTCTACATAATATAAAATGACAGCGGCATGAAAGGAGCCCCTTCAGCATCCCATGATGTGACTGGCTGGTCCTTTCAACCCAGAAGGGGCTTGGTTGGTGCTTCCGACATGAATGTAGCAGTAGTAGCCAATCTACATTGGATAAGTTAGCCAAGCACCTGTGTGTGGGAAAGTTTCTGGAAGAACCACAAGGCCAAGTCAAGGGAAGTTCTTGAGGTCCACCCAGCACCTTGAATCGCCTCCAGAAACATCTCAACAATGCATACAGTGACTGCAAAACAGCTGTTAGAGGACTATAGCAACCCTGGTTGGCTAATAAACAGACCAGCTGACGTTTTGGAGTGCTTTTCAGAGGCAGCCCTTGCAAAACACACTGCAGCAATCACTTTACCTTGGGAGATGTCCTCCTGTCTAGGAAAGGATAGGCGCTCACTCTTGTTCACCTGTTGGGAAAGTTCTTTATCTGGCTTTTGCTGCGGCTGTGGCTTGGGATACCTTCCTTCGTTGAACACTTGGGGCAGGTTGGCTGTATGCACCTGCCTGAGCTGTTCATAGTCACTCAAAGCAGCAGTGAAGTCCCAGTTTTTGCCTAAAAACACAGAAAGGGAGGCAGGGTTGACTTCCACAGGCAGGCGTATGGCCGAGCTGATGTCTGTGAATAGGAGCAGCAGACAGCCACTGTTTCAGATTCACTAAACTGAAGTAAGAGGTACCAAAGTAAACATTGGCAGAGATCTTCCCTGTCTGTGACTCTCTTGGAAGCAACAGTTGGGCTTTGGAGAAGCAGGACAGGAAGAGGATTGATACATTTGGACTTTGGGGCTGGAGAAAACGGCTGAGAATATCATGGACGGCCAAGAAAGCAAACCAATGGATCACTGAACACATCAACACAGATGTTGACACAAACGACCAGGTTCAAATTATCCTTCTTTGGACACATAATGTGAAGACCCAACTCGGTGGAGAAGGCTCTGATGCTGGGAAAGATGTTGGTCTATCGCAGTGTTTCTCAACCTTGACAATTTTAAGGCATGTGGACTTCAACTCCCAGAATTCCACAGCCAGCAATGCTGGCTGTGGAATTCTGGGAATTGAAGTCCACATGCCTTAAAATTGTCAAGGTTGAGAAACACTGGTCTATCGGGTGAGGAACAGCACTGCATAGCACAATGTTAAGAGCGATTAAAATGGAGCACACATCAAGTTATTTTGCTATCCTCAAAATCAGCAAGGATGAGCCAGTAAACTTGGCAACTTTAAGACTGGTAGGCTTCAACTCTCAGAAGGGCTGGCTGAGGAATTCTAGGAGTTGAAGTCTATAAGCAGTGGTGGGATCCAGCTGGTTTGCACCACTTTGGCAGAACCGGTAGCTAATTTTTGGTTGCCCAGGCCCAAGATGGACTTCCGGAAGCAGCATCCACACAGAGAACTGGTTGTCCACATATTTGAATCCCACCACTGTCTACAAGGCTTAAATTACCAAGTTTGGAGACCCCTGAACTAAACTATGGGAGGAAAAATGAAAGAAAGCCCTGTGAGGACCATCAACCTGAACAGCTTTAAAAGGAAAGTGAACCAGCAACTGACAGGCGCTGCCCATTCAACTTTGTGGGTCTAAATTATCTTCAATAAGGGAGGTTGTAACACTCTTAATACTAGTTTCTGGATGGGTCATGCTTTATCCATGTTCTGGCCACCCCAGGAAGAAAATGACCACCCGGTGACCTCTTAGCTTTCATCTCTCTAGTTGGGTACCCTGGACTATTGTACTTGATCAACAGAAAGCATAAATGCCGATACAGTTAAATAGCCAAATAACCAAACAAAATGTCATGGTATATTTAATTATGATCCAACTTTAAACAACTCAAATATTTAGAGTGCTAGCTCTGCCAGAGATAGTACATATTGGTTCATAAGAGTGTAAAATATTTTAAATGGTCAAATAATAGAATTTAGTGAGAATTTTGGATGAGTCTAGTGATCAAGGTTTGAATAGCAATATTGAATGCTTAAATAGGCCTTCAAAGAAAGGCATATTTTATTAAACAGATTTCTGCAAAGAGAATGTTTTCCAGAATAGAGACAATAAAGCACGATGTATGTTTGAACAAGCTGCGTTTATTTCATTCACTCAGGATTGCATTCTAACGTATAATATATAACTTCAATTTATAACCAGTTCATTGCCTTTACATTGTTATATTCTTAGACAAAAAAAAACCCTTTAATTCTTGCTCTTGAATGCTGGTGAATTATCACATCAGACCCTTATTATTTTTCAATGCACTGTTAATAAATAACATGCTAAAGTATTCATTATATCATCCTCCCTTAATTGTTCACATCTAAACCGCCTTTTCATTCCCCAGCCTATTCTGAATACCAATATCCACACACTGGGAAGGCAGAACAAGACAAAAAGGGCAGAGCTAAAACTGTGGCAATTAAATGTTATCAAATGATTTTAAAAAAAAACACCCACACAAGGATAACTGAACTAAAATAAGGACATAACTGTTCTGGAGGAAGGATCGCATTTTCTAATTCCAAAACTGTTCTACAACAAAAAGGCAAATTTGAGGAATTTGGGGAAAAAATGAAGGAGGAGGAAGAGGAGGAGGAGGGAGGGAGGGAGGGAGGGAGGGAGGGAGGGAGGGAGGAAGGAAGGAAGGAAGGAAGGAAGGAAGGAAGGAAGGAAGGAAGGAAGGAAGGAAGGAAGTCCTCTTAGGAGCCTATCTGAAGGCAGAAAATACTTTAATACATTTTATCTCACAATTGGCTTCTATGCATGGAAAAGCCGCAGAAACAGTAGCGCCTTTATTTTGATGCCTGCAAAACTGTTGTCTCCAAGCAATAATTCAAGCAGCAGCATCAGTTGGTAGAACAATAATATCCTGCTGTTAAGAGTTTCAAGAGATCAACCTTGGCCAGCCAAAAAAAAGGAAAAAAAAAAAAAAAAAACAGAAAAAAATGCCAGGAGTAATTTTTAGCTTTTTTCAGCAGAACATGATTAGTGGTTTTTATCAAAGCAGAATGCATTTAATTTCCTTCCATGGAAGCAGGGCATTGTAACAGCAGAAGGACGAGCGCGCAGAGCCCCCTTTCAGAGGACTGGCAGAAATTACCAGCCTGCCCGGCCACGTGCCCTTCTGAGCAGCCTCTCCGCAAATTGGCTGACAATGAGGCAGGCCTCCAAGCTGACATTTCATTGAAATGGCACCACGGTCAAAAGGCGGCTGACGTCAAGCAGAAGTTGCTTTTCTCCAAACCACTGTTATTTAAATGTTACCTTCGTTTGGATTCACAACCATCTTGACCGACCATTCCAATTCTTCCAAAACACACACACACACACACACACGCGCACGCACAACTGAAGAACCGTGCATTTCTATTTGGCCCTCTTAAAAGTTACATTTAACACTATTCATGTAACGGCAAAGATAAAATATGGTCTATCACTTATTGTTTATAGGAAATAAGACTTTTAGTTCAATCCACCACACTGGGAACCATAACGGGGAGTGTGTTACACACCAGCTAAATAAAAAGAGAGGAAAGTAGCCTTTGGTAGCCTTTCTCATAAATGACAATTTAGCCCAAAAAGATAACAAAAAAAGCTGGGAAGAAGCATTTCAAATCATAATAATACAGAATAACAGAGGTGGAAGGGACCTTAGAGGTCTTCTAGTCCAACCCCCTGCTTAAGCAGAAAGCTCTATACCATTTCAGGCAAATGGCTGTCCAACTTCTTGTTAAAAGCCTCCAGTGATGGTGCACCCACAATCTCTGGAGGCAAGCCGTTCCGCTGGTTAATTGAAAATTAAATTAAAATTAATTTAATAAAAATTAAATCATTGAAAGAGAGCCTGCTCAGATCAACAAACTAATGTGGGTAGCTTGCAAATTCATGCTGCAGTTTCCAAGGGACCTTCCTGGCATTTCTTGTTTCTTGATCTTGCTCAGCTCATACAAGACGAGGAATCTGATGCTATGCATGTTGGCCAACTATGGACTCCTCCCTTGTAAACACAGGTTGTTGAAAAGCATGCAAAGAGGGTTTCTCTCCGGATGGCTAATCCCAAGATGGTCCTTCCACTGCTCTCATGTGAATCTCTCCATGGTTTGTACAAGTGCGTGACAAATCTCACCTCCTTTGGATTTGGCAATCTATCAAGCTGGAGGTGGGTGAGAATTATTCCATAAAACAGGTGGCAGATTGTTCTTTTACAGAAGGCTTAATACAAAAAAGAAAAAAGAAAGAACAAGCATATAGTTTGCTGACTTTATATAAATGCACTCTTTTGGTCACCTGAAGGTGATTTTTTTCATGAAACGGTGCAGAGGTACTTGTGTGTCCAGAGAAGGGGCAAGTGACATCCTGTGTGTGGTATGGCATCCTTGTGCGAATGGCGTAAGTTATGTATTTTATGCATGTGACAGCCTTGTGGCTTGTTCCAGATGTCACTGTATGAATGTGTAAAGGAATGCTGGAAGGACCCCCTTCTATTCCATTCCATTCTATATTCTATTCTATTCTTAAACATTGTAGCAAAACAATTGATCGACCATCTTTTGCAGTATCTCCTCACCACCTCTTCTGCCTTGTTACATAAATCTATATACCACCAAAATTTTTATTTCTGTAACCTTTAGCTGAACAAACAGCGCATTGTAGGGCAAGATTTTTGCACAATCAACCCAAGTTGTGAAAAGCATAATGCTGCCATATATCAAAAACACCTCAGAAATAACCAATGGATTATCACAACCACATGACATCACTGTAGCACACAAACCAACCAACTGTTCTGCCATGGTTGAAGGCATGTGGAATCCGGTAAAGAAATATCTCAGAAAGGATGACTCAACAGGTCATGGGTTTAAAGGTGAAATCTAGAGTAAGGTTTAAAGGTGAAATCTAGAGACTTGCATATTCTATATTTCGGAGTTCATATCCTGCAACACATGCAAAGGGAACAGAAGAAAACCCCACCCTGCCTGAGGGATTCTGGGAGTTGAAGTCCACAAATCTTAAAGTTGCCAAGGTTGGGGACCCCTACTGTGGATGATGTTCCATAAAGGTATTCTTACCTTCCAACAAATCTCTGGCTAGACCAGGCTCTGCCCCCGTGGACTGAACGAAGTCTGAGAGGACAGCATCCATATCAAGAGTCATGGGATCATGTAGGGCAGCTGCTAACTGGGCAGCAGAAGAAGGAAAGTTACAAGATGTCCATCTACCAAGAGGAAGAAAGAAGATCCCAGATAAATCTCCTATTGGAGCGCATGTGTAGTCAGCTTTCTGAAACAGAATCCCTAAAAACTCAACTTGGAGATTTGAACTATGCTTTATTCTATCTATTTATACAAATTTAGTTTAAACATAATCCAATATCTAAGGAGGACTTTGCATGACTGTCTTTGAATCTTCCATAGCTAGTGACGTCAGTCAAGAACCTCAGTTCTGCACTCATTACGCCTATTCTCAATTCTACCTCATCTCAACATTTGTGTCAGCCAAGCTCTTGGGTGAAAAAATAAACTGGAAAAATACATTTCCACCATTGATGTCTATACCCAAGATGAGAGCTTGGGGAAAAGAAAGACCAATCGTATCAGTGGAAGTCAAGAAATCAAGGCATGTTTGATTTCCTTTTTTTTTTTTTTTTACAAGTTTGTGTTGTCCTTTCTTCCCTGAACACTCCTTGGGTTCTTCAGGCAATCAACTCTTCTTAAAGATTCCAAACTCTGTTTAATTGTAAGGCCCCAGGTTTTCCTTTAAAGCGGTGTTTCTCAACCTTGACAATTTTAAGGCATGTGAACTTCAACTCCCAGAATTCCACAGCCAGCTGGCTGTGGAATTCTGGGAGTTGAAGTCCACGTGCTTTAAAATTGTCAAGGTTGAGAAACACTACTTTAAACAATTAGCCTTAAAATTGATAACTGTCCAGAGGTAAACTTATTTTTGAGCACTAAAAGTCCATAAGGACAACACAATTCAACACCTGCTGTTGTTTCAATACACAGCCTTTTCTGGCAGTATATTATTGCCTGTGTTTTTAAACTGAACTAGAAACTAATATTACAAGTTTCAGGGTTCTTCAGTTCTTGTTTCACAGGCCATAAATGGACTAGGAAACTGATTTTCTAGCCTTAATCCCAAACAATGCAGGGATATAATACCCTGCTCTTGGATACTTGTCACAGGAGTTACTAACCTCCCCTCAGCGAAGTCTCAACATAGATATAATTGTTGTTATTTTTTAAAACTCACACTAGTGGCTTCTACAGCCACTAAACCCAGGTCCTGCTCACATGTTTACAATCATTATTTCTTTGGTGCATCCGTGCCTAGATTCGGCATCTTCTTGCTGCATTTCACTCTCTTCCACTTCCTTTGTGATGTGATGATCACCACCAGATTCCTCTTCCTCCTTTACAACAGAGCTACTAGTCTTCTTGGTGTGATTTCTTCCATAACGTTCCTCGGGCACCACCGGAGATGTGTGTTTGGCCAGAGACGGCAAATACACCAGGTTCCTACAAAGCTGAGTCAAGGAATCTCTTTTGATGGGGATTATGATTGCAACCATCAGGACAGCAGAGAAAGTAATTCCAACCTAATTCCCAAACTGGTGCTCCTCATTTTAAAGAAGGGAAGTGCTGGTCCTCATGGACTCTTCTCAGTTGATAGCGTGGTCTTGAGGACGAAGCCCAGAGGACGATGTTATGTTCACATAATTGTTGCATTTCCTGAGGTACCATAACCTTTTCACTGTTGCATCACAATCAAGTGGAGATCAAGATGACCTGTTAGGTCAGTAATGAGTAATACAACCTTTTGGCTTCCTTACCAAGAAATGTGTTTTATTAAGGTTTTACGAAGTCAAGAGACCTCCAAGTTTCAACTAGCTGTTTTCTTGGAAGCTTCGTCCTAGTATCTAAAGGTATTTCAAGATCTGCTGTTTTGCAGAGGCAGCTACAGAGGATGGGGTGTATAGTTATTCAAATTGCAGGAACGTATCCCCTCGATTTTTGCAAGCATCACCCATTTCGGAGCATAATTTTGCTCCCAAAATCATGAGAGCTGGGCATTTAATCTTCATTGGATGAGTATTGGATATGGGGTGAGAGAAACTTTAAGATGAGGTTGCACCATGAAAAATAAGCAGAACTCATCTCTCACAAGAAGTAACCAGACATCCACCTGAAAGGGTCTGTCATGCTTCCGTCAGAGCCTGAATCTGCGGAGGAAAATGAGCTGGAATGGGACCCTATGGAGGTTGAGGGAGAGGTGTCTGTGGTTTCAGAGGAATGTGGGTAAGAGCAGGCCGAGGCAGGCCAGGGCCCTTCAGGATTGGGACAGGAGGAACAGGAGAGACAGAGTTCAGGCAATGAGCAAGGGCCACCCCCACCTGATCCCAGAGCACGGAGAGTGGAGAGGAGGAGGGAACAATGCAGGCAAGCTCAAGTACTCGGGAGGAGAGTGTCCCGCCCCTCTCAACAAGGCACACCTGGAGACTGAGATTTAAGGAGATGCTGTGGAGAGAGGCTTTTGTCGGGAACAAATGCTGATTCTTTGTGGAGTTTTTTGTGTGTTGTTGCTGATCTCTTGTTCTGTGACTTCTGCTTGGAAACCCGGAAACTCTGACCATTGGACTGGCTGACGTTGCTTGGATGTTCAAAGATCTCGGACTGTATTTTGGCTTCCCTTTTGAAACTGCTCAGGCAAGTGTGTATTCACACAGACTCATTAGGTTTATGATGTATGTGTCATTCCTTGTTATCTCCGTGGCCTTGAGTAAATTCCTCTCCTAATCAGACTGTATGTGAAACTACTTGCAGCAAAAGGCGGCTGAAGGTGTGTCTTCCTTTATTTGGAGGCTTGCCAGAAATGTGGGAGCATTTGGGGAAAATTTGGAGCAATTAAAGGATGGTTTGCATTGTCAGCTGACTGCATTGCCTCTGGGTTGTGCCCCTGGGTCATCACAGGATCATTCCACCTTATTTTATGTACAGGTATTCTTAACAACAGTCCATTTAGTGACTGTTTGAAGTTACAATGGCACTGAAAAAAGTGACTTATGACTTGTTTTCACACTTACCACTGTTGTAGCATCCCCATGATCACAGGATTTACACTCTGACGCTTGCCAACTGACTCACACTTATGACGGCTGTTAAGTGTCCCGGGGGTCACGTGATCCCCTTATGTGACTTCCTGACAAGCAAAGCCAGATTCATTTAACAACTGGGTTACTAACTTAACCATGTAGTGATTCCCTTAACAAGTGTGACAAGAAAGGCCGTAAAATAGGACAAAACTCACTTTACACATTTCACTTAGCGACAAAATGTGGGGCTCAAAAGTTGTAAGTGAAGGACTAGCTGTATTTATTTATCACATTGATAAACCACCCATCTTTTCAAAGGACTCTGGATGACTAATCCTAGACAGGGGTGGGGAACCTTGGCTCTTTTATGACTCATGGACTTCAACTCTCAGAATTCCTGAGCCAGCCAATTCTGGGAGTTGAAGTCCACCAGTCATGAAGGGGCCATAGTTCCCCCATGCTGGTTCAGGAATTCTGGGAGTTGAAGTCCACAAGTCATAAAAGAGCCAAGGTTCCCCACCCCTGTCCTAGACTAACCTATTGGACTTGACTCTCTTAAATGGAGAACGGGAAAGAAGAACTGTCAACTCCTCACTGGACTCACTTTCAGCAGACTGGAAGGAAAGCTTCAGCGTTGTGCGTCAGATGGTGGAGAAGCTAGTTCATTTTTATCACAGGAAGCCATGCGAGTAAGTTGTGTCTCCTGAGAAATCTGTAAGGAAAAAGAAGCTGGGTTAAAAATAATATCCTGGAATCAGGGACACGTATTGGCACCGAAGGAAAAACCATGTTCATCCTGCCTACCGCACCACTCCCGACTCCCAATCCCCTTCTGCGACCTTCTCACGAGCAAAGTCAAGGGGGAAGCCAAATTCATTTAACAACCGTATTACTAATTTAAGAACTGTAACAAGAAAGGTCGTAAAATGGGGCCAAATTCGCCGAACAGTTACCCTCTTAGCCACAGAAATTTTGGGCTCCATTGTAAAGTCGAGAACTACCTAGAACAGATTATAACTTTAGAAAGATTGGAATATATTTGTACTGCTGTAAGGAATATCAGAAGCCACATCTATTTTTTTGTCTTTTTTTCCCACGGTCTGGGGAATTCTGGAAATTGAAGTCCACTCATCTCCTAGTTGCTGAGATTGAAAAATACTGTTTTAAAGCCAACAGGTTTTAATCCAGTTTCCTGGATTATATCCACAGCTACTGCTCGTCTTCCGGGTTAAAAAAAAAAATCTAAAGAACGCCGCTTTTATCTCTGTTAAATTTCATTTTCTTCTTTTTCTGTCCAATTTCTATTTTTCTATGGCGTTCGCTATTCCATCCCTTTCATCTGCATTCTCCCGCTTCTTCGGGGCCTTCAGTTACTGCCATTATTGCCAAAAGCCAAATAAATAACAAAAGTAATTCAGTTTGCATTTTATGGCAAGGTTGAGCACAAAAGGTCTGGAGAAATAGCAGTCAGAGGAAAAAAGCACCAATATTTCCTCTTCTCTTTTCAGGGCTTGAATGAAAGAAAAGAATCTGCCTGCGGGACACATTTGGGAAGACACAGCACTGGCAGAGGGTGGACAAATGAATGCAAGGGAAAACTTTGAAGGAAACTATAGAATTCACATGCTGAGATTTTCTGCAGTCATCACTATCTATTCACATATATCTGTGTGCGTATATATACCGGTATCTATATTCCCATGGAATTCTTAGTTCCCCATAAAGGAGAATTACTGCGACTGAGAAGAACTTCTCTTGCTAAAATAATTAATATTGAGAGCTGCTATTTATGTTCCCGTATAATGCAATGTGCTGCATTAAGGAAAACAGATAAAAGCCTTTTTTATTTTATTCTTTTAAAATAAAACAAAATGACTTTAATTGAGTACTTCAGATGTTCTCATAATGGGAAAGCTTCTCTTTTTAAAAAAATAAACCAGTGAGAAATGAGACTCTAAAGAACAATTTAGTTTATCTTAAATCATTGTGGTTTTTTAAAAAAAAAAAACATGCACAGACGAGGTAATGGAACTTCCACTGCAATAACTTGGTTTATCCAGCTTAATAATACTAGTTAAACTTATGATAATTATATGTCCTGGACCCTTTATAGATGGAAAATGCAGATTATACATTCAAATTATATGGCCTTCACTAAAGCAATAAAATGAAATGAATAATTGCAGATATTTTGTACAAACATGAATGATAACAACTTTCAGCTTGCAATAACACAGATTTGTTATAATCAATGTTATACCCAGAGGAGATAAAAGAGTAAGTGGACTCCCATTAATCAGCATTTAATAAATGAAATTTCTTCAAAGACTACCATGAAAATAATTCCACAATTATAATGAGCTAAAACAAAGAAGCTATTAGGAATTTCAAAACAAGTTATTAATTTGTTTTGCCCATATTTCTTCTAATATGATGGGCAAGAGATTGGAACAGAAAGGAAAACACACAATTTCTGTTGTCCTTGTTACAACTCATGCATTTCTAAATGCCATGATCAATCTATGATAATAAAGAACGTGACAATGAATTTCATGTCTATGTGGAAACAAACCTAGGGTTATCACAATAGGTATAAAAATAGCTGCCACACACATTCATAATATCTCATGAAACTAAATGGATGCTCTAGAGCAGGGGTCTCCCAATGTAAGGACCCACCCCACTTTGCATCTTAAGAAGACAGAACTCTTGGAATAGTTCTTCCAACAGGCATCCTTATTAAGAGAAAATGGTTGCAGGCGTTCTAGACAGGACTTGGGGTCCAAGCTCTCCCATTCGAGGTTTTAAGGGTTTCCCCAGTAGCCGCACCCAATCACCCCTTTCTTCCAGCGACAGTCTCAGACATTACACTCCCACCCCCTTTTCCTTACTGCCGGCTGGAGGGAGACTTCAGAGAGAACTACATGAAAGGTAAGCCCATTGTTATGGTTACTCCTTTTGGTGATACACACATCCAGTTCCTTTGAAGTGTACCAAAGGAAGTGAGGGCCATAAAGCCCCTTTGTTCACCCCCTTCCCTTCACCATATGACAGAATCCATAGGAGGCAGAAATGGGGTTTTCTATAATTGATAACTAGAGATGAAATATAATTGGATTCTGACACCCAAACTTGCAACTTTTAAGACTTGTGGACTTCAATTCACAGAATTCCCCATGCAATGGCTGGCTGGGGAATTCTGGGAATTGAAGTCCACAAGTCTTAAAAGTTGCAAGTTTGGGAGAGCCCTGCTCCAGAGCATCCAAAATACGATAAAAACTCTCTTTGTGATCAAGAGTTCTCATTGTATTTGGGGTGCTCTAGAATTGTCCAGCATGAATTAAGAGTTATTCTCTTGACATCTTTTCTGGTCATGGAAACAAACGTTCAGCATTCCCCTCTACCTTGGAAGGCAAGAAATATTTTGCTAAATGGGGGGGGGAGTACACACCTTGGAAAAATCTGCATTGCGTCACATCCTCAGGTATAAATCCCTAGAGAGAACTGAGTGGCACTTAAGGGAGAGGATTGACTGCAGCATTCATTTCAAATGGAAATTGGGGCATATCCTCCTTTGAATGTTCGGATCTGTTTTACAACAGGAGTGGTTTGAATGTAGCTGTTTTAGACATGTTATCCCTGTTTGAAAAGTACAGGTAGTCCCCAAAGTACGAGCACGGTTTGAGCCCAAAATTTCTGTTGTCAAGGGAGACAGTTAAGTGGGTTTTGCCTCATTTTACAGCCTTTCTTGCCACCGTTCTTAAGTGAATCACTGCAGTTTTTAAGTTAGCAAGCCAGTTGTTAAGTGACTCAGCCTTCCCCATTGACTTTGCTTGTCAGAAGCTTACAAAAAGGGATCCCATGATCCCAGGAAGCTGTGACCGTCATAAATATGAGTCGGTTGTCAGGCTTCTGAATTTTGATCACATGGTCACGGGGATGCTGCAAAGGATGTAAGTCTGAAAAATGGCCCTATCACTTTTTCCCAATGCCACTGTAACTCTGAACGGTCACTAAATGAACTACCTATATTGGTAGACTCTATTGCCATCATGTCTTAAGGACAGTCAGACTTGGAAGATGAGGAGAGTGGAGAGATGGTTACATAAAGCCTAGGATTCAACACTCAAAACCAACTTTTATTTGCTTCACAATAAATGTAGCCCTTGACTTAACAGTCATTTGTTTAGGGACTGCTTGAAAAAAGTGACTTATGACAGGTCCTCATGTTTATGACTCTCACAGGATTCCCCACCATCATGGGATCAAAATTTGGGTACTTGGAACCTGGCATTTATTTCGGACAGTCGTGGGGTCTGGGTCATGCCATCTGCACCCAGGACCTCCCCAGCAGGCTTTGGACAAACAAAGTCAATGGGACCACATGATCCACCTAGCAACTGCAGTGGTTTGTTTAACGACTGTGGCAAAAAACACAGAAATTCTGGTCCCTATTGAGGTCGTAAATTGAGGACTTTCTAAGCAATTGCTTCTCTTTGTAAATATTTTGAGTCTTTGGTGCATTATTGTTGGTCCCTTGAGGTGACTCCAGAGCAGTAGTTCTCCACCTGTGGGTCGGGACCCCATTTGGGGTTGAACGACCATTTCACGGGGGTCGCCAAACAATGCAGTCCGCCATTTTTTCCCCCCTTTTCCTTAGCTGTGCTACTCCCTTTTATTCTATTGGCTTTTGAAAGCCAATAGAATAGACTCTCTTGAATAGAGTCTAATTCTATTGGCTTTCAAAAGCCAATAGGAATTGTCCAGGCTGTCTCTGCCCTGCTGAGCCCGCCAAAAGTCCCAGTCTGCAAACGGTGCTGCACCAGTTGAGTAGTCCTCGACTTACGGCCGGTTGAGTAGTCCTCGACTTATGACCGGTTGGGGGTCGCGGCATTAAAAAGGTTGAGAACCACTGCTCCAGAGAAAGTGGAACCATTCTTGATTAAGAGAGAATCTAGCAGTAAAATAATCTTGCAAGGCTCTTGCTTGCCTTCCCTCCCTCTCGGACCCCAACACAGGGACAACATTAAAACATAAATAGCAGAGATATTGGAAGCGATTCAAAGAACGTGCAGGATGCTTTTTTCTTTTTTAAAAAAAAAAAAAACACTAATGAAAGATGCCTTAGATAAACCGTCTATTGTGGCCCTAAATGTCGTCACTGAGGAAAACAAAACAGCTACTGAAAAGGGGAAAAACTAGGAGATTGAAGGAAGCCAGAATTCAATGAAGTCATTGTGCATTCAGGAACAAATCCACAGTCATTGCAGTCGTTGTTGTGACATATTATTTATTTAAATCAACAATGAGGGAGGAAACATATTTTTGTAAGATAAAGAAGAAGAAAAAGATGGGCAGAAGGGGAAGATCGCTGATCGGTCCAAGGTCTACTTTAGAGTTTCTCAACATCAGTGATGTTAAGATGGGGGGTGGGATGTGTGTTTTTGTAAGGCAAGGGGCTGTGCAAAACTATTAGCCATCTCCAACTTTACAACATTATAGGCTAAGCTCTAATTGCTTGCCTGGGAATAACAGGGAACTATTTGGCCACTGTTAATAAAAATGTTCCTTCTCAGTCTTCAAGCTGTTAGAAATACACCTTTAATTATCAGTTTCCCATTTCCCGTTTCCCTCTCTTCACCACAGTCCTTCTTCCTACAGCTTTGGTCACAGTTTTATTTTGCAAGATTGCTAAATTTATTTCAGATTTGC